CGCCGGGAGCGGGGCCAGAGGAGCCACGGACATGGGCAGAGGCTGGAGCAGCTCCCGTGCGAGGCCAGGCTGAGAGAGTTGGGGGTGTGCAGCCTGGAGAAGAGAAGGCTCCGGGGAGACCTTCCAGCACCTCTCAGTGCTGAAAGGGGGCTACAGGAGAGATGGGGGGGCTCTGGGTCAGGGGGTGCAGAGACGGGACAAGGGGAACGGGTTTAAGCTGAAAGAGGGGAGATTTAGATTGGACATTAGGAAGACAATTTTTACTGTAAGGATGATAAGGCAGTGGCCCAGGTTGCCCAGAGAAGCTGTGGATGCCCCATCCCTGGAGGGGTTCAAGGCCAGGCTGGATGAGGCTTTGGGCAACCTGGGCTGGTGGGAGGTGTCCCTGCCCATGGCAGGGGGTGGCACTGGATGGGCTTTAAGGTCCCTTCCAACCCAAACCCTTCTGGGATTCTTTGACACATCAACGCTTCTCCTGGAGGAAAAGACCCAAGCCACGCTGAGACAGCCCACCAGAACCCCACCACCTCTTCCTGCGAGATGCTGTGCATGTTGTGCAGACACAGAGTGTGCCCGATAACGGCCTCTCTGCTAGCCAAGCGCCCAGAGGAGCCATTGGGCTAATTAATACACCAAATTTACGCACTCTGGTACGGCAGAGATGGGCGCATTACAAACATCCACACTACAGCAAGGACTCGCAGCGCTGCACAGGACACCTGCTGGGTTTAATAAGGGAAATAAGTGCGACAAGACACAATTCTCTGCTCCTTGGACACCAGCTGTGTTCTGAAAGCGGGACGCCCACTGCTCTAACGGCTCTGCTTCCTTCCATTAAAGGTTTTCCTCATTTTTTATCATGGTGACCTGCATCCCACTCAGGACTTCCATGAACAAGAATTCCGGATATAAAAGGACTATCTGGAACCAGTTAACAACCGGGGATCCCGTGGAGGGAGGAGAGAGCAGGCGAGACAGCACGGTGGCTGGCTCGGGAGAGGGCAGCCAGCCCCACAGAAGCCTGACCCTTCCCGTAGAGCCCAAGTGCTCTGGATCTCAGAGCTCAGTGATGTGATAAGCTTCTGCTCACTCTGAGTGCCCACACCTCTCCCAGCAGCCCAACTAAACACAGGATTTTGGGTCTTGCTGGCGTTATTCAAACGCATCAAAACCTCACAAAGTTGTAAAACCTGTCCCTGAAGCCACCAGCGCTCAGACACCACACTGCTCCTTCCTTTTGCTCCACTAATACCAACTCCTCACAGACCAGAGGAATCCCTGTGGGCAGCAAAAAGCCCCTCTTCCCCTGGGGAGCTGGCCTGGTCACCCTCGGCGTGACTCTGTCCTCTCCTGCCACCCCAGAAGCTACGGGAAGAACCGCTTCGAGAGGTGCCTGCAAGCCAAGGGACATCACATCTCCTGCTGAGCACCTCAACCCCACTCCAGCACCACACAGGCACCTCTGCGGAGACGCTCGCATCCATTAACGCAGTGTTCCCCCGAGCATCAGACCCTCCGGGGTGCAAGCGGCTGCTGCGGTTTCTTCTGCTGCTATCTAGTGGTTTTATTGCAAGAAGGACATTGATATTCCAAGCACCAGCGCTCAGATTAGCCGTGCAGGTTGCAGTGAGTAGAAAAGGTCTACGAGCAGAAAACAATGATTCATACAATCCAATTTGCTGATATATGCTCATCGGCTACACGAAAACGTTTGCACCGCCTGGGCTGACCTGCGGCAGATAAAGGAGGCCAGCGGCGAATTAGCATGCCGGCTGCATGCCCCGAAATGTCGGCGTGCATTCCATCACTGTGTAATTAGAAAATGAGGCGAAGAACTACGGCAAAGCACAGCTCCCCCTCACAGCCCTGATTTAATTACCAACAACTACCCCAGCACCCTACATCCTTCCAGCTCCGCAGCCCAGGCACAAACGGAGGCAGGGAGGATGCACACACGCTCGGAGACACCCAGATGAGCTCTTCCCTCCCATCCTCCTGGTTTTGTTCCCAGTGTGGGGGCTGGACTGGGGCTGCCAGGCTGCCATCACCCACAGAGCCAAGCTGAGAAGGACTGGCGAGGTGTGAGCGGGCTACTAAAGAGAGCTGTTCGGCTGGGACCTTCCCCCAAAGCTGCTCTGCACACTTGATGCCATTCCGGAGCCTGTTCCTTCCCCAGTTCATTTGCATTTCTGATTTTAGCTCCCAGTCGAGTTACACGAGATGTCTCTCACCTGCTTCCTGGCTTTCTCCTCCCTGGCCTGCGCCTTCATCTGCTGGACCTCCAGCGAGTCCGCCTTCCTCCTCCTCATGAAGAGGTCGTGGTTCCCAATGCACAGCTGCAGAATCTGTTCCAGTGGGGGAAGAGTGGAGAGAAGCAGCTTACACACCATCACCATGAGGCGGTTTGTATTCTCGACACACAAACACCCCAGAACTGCTTCGGTTTGGTGCTCGTAAGCACTTCCACCCATCGATCCCAAACCCCAGGAGCTCTCATACCCGTAGGAGGGGCAGGGAGCCCCGGCACAGCCCAAGCCCCACACCGAGCACCAGCTCCTTGCCCAGCGGCTCTTTGCAGGGGCTTGTTTTGTTCTGTGCAGCCAGCACAGCACGGCTCTGGCAAGTTTTACACCAGCCCCAAGGAGGTGTCAGGCCAAAGAATGAAACAGAGACTTCTGCAGCTCTGGCCGGTTCCCTGCATCTCACTGGCCTCTTCCTTCAGGTTCAGGATGAACTTGCTCCTTCTCCCAAATGCATGCTTAAAGCATTGAGATTTAAAGGGGAAGAAAAAAAAAAAAAAGGAAAGAAAAAACCCCAGTTTCCATCTTGGAAAAACAAGCGGCTTATCAAAAGCTTCCCTGGACACCTTCAGACACTTTGCCGAAGGGTTCTGAGCACCAGTGTGGTTTCCTCCGGTACAGAGGAGGAAGACAAGGAAGGCAGCAACACCAGAGGAGGGTGAGCAAAGGGGTGGGTATGCAGAAGAGTGAAAGCTCTTTTCAGCAACAAAAGCGGGTTTCTGAACTCGGATTCTCTTCTAAAGGACTGATTCACATGTGTGGCACTTCACAAGGCATGAACGACTCCTCTGGAGTCAGAGGAGCTGCGAGGGCTTTGCCAGGGAGCCCAGTTCCCTACGGCACGGGAAGCACAGGACAGCCTCTAGCCAGGACAGTGTGCAACCCTCGTGCAACGTGACAGCGCACGGCTCCTGCAGGACCTGGACCAAGGCTCCTCCCGGGACCAGATCCAGAACAGCAGCTAGAGCTGGTCTGTACCACAGCTCTGAACAGCACAGCCCTGAGCAGCCCCCTCCATCCTCCTACAAGGACGGCGTCCTCAGAGGGGACCAGCCCAGGAAAAAGCCAGGACTGCGACTCCGACAGCAGAGCATCCCAAAACAGGGAGGCCTGCGTCACAGGCCAGAAAAGATCTGCAGGAGAAGGAACGGGATCTGGAGCAATGATGGGGTGAAGAGAATGTTTTACTTACTAAGTGCTTCTGCCATGCAGGTCAGCTGTAACGCGAGGGCTCGGAAAGGGAGCACAAAAACAGAACAGGGGGGAGAGGTTCTGTGAAGGAGCTTGACTTGAGCTTCCCCCTTCTCTTCCAGAGGCTGTAACTGGTCGAGCAGCAACTGCTACACCAAACCCCATCGACAGCCCAGCCAGGCCAGCACGCTCCCTCCGACTGCTCGGAGGAAAAGCCCCAAAAAACCAGTCTCGTACTGCCAGGAGAGACTACTGCTGCAGGCAATAAAAATTAGTCTGTCTGTAGACTTACCAGCTTGTTCACACGCAGCTTTGACGAATTGAATTTAAAAACATCAATCTTTTTGTCCAATGGCTTAATCGTAAACTGAAAAGGAAAAAATAAAGAGGGAGAGAGTTATCAGAGAGTGGTGCATTTAATAAAAATGCAGCTATAAAAGTCTTCCTGAAAGCTTTGGCTCGGAGGAGGTCAGCGGTGTCAGACAAACAAGGCTGAGCGCTGTCCCCGTGGCTTTTAGCCAAGCAGGAGAAGTGGTATCAAAAGCAACCAAGGAGACAAGTGTTCCTTCGGTCAGAAAACCGTGCGTGCCACAGAAGCAGCGAGAGTGCTGTACGCCTACAGACTGCAGCGCCCAGCAGCCGGTGTCCTCTGCAGAGCACCTCGAGGGCAGAGGCAGCTCAGCACCTCCCGAGGCACGATCCTGCTCTCCTGGCAGCTGTAGAGAAGGTCCAGCAGAAATTCCTGACACTTCTGAAGGGAGGAAGAACCAGCTCAGCTGCCCGACGGATGGGCAGGAGGGTCACATTAGGAACACAGAAAGAGGAGCTGCTGTCCTTCCCATTGACACCTCCACTGGCAAGGGCTCCCCAAAAGGACTTTCCAAGCACTTTGCTCTCCAGAAGTCAGGCGTGTCACAAGACTGCTCCACGGTTCAAAATATGATTCCCTTGCTCTATCTTGTATTTACACTCCATGTGCCAACCCAACAGCTCTGACCACAGCCTGGGTTGATCCTCTCCAAGGAGCCTTCCCACTGCGGGTCTCTCAAGATGACAGAGGTGGCACTGCCAGACTGGAGAGTTTCGGTCATACAGCCCTGGGATAGACAGAAGACTCTGAACTAACAAAGAGATGCTTGAAGAGATGGAGTTCTCCGCAACACGGCGTTTTCCAGAAGGCATGCGTATATTCCATCACACCCCCACAGGCTATAAAAATAACCAGCCGGAGAGACAGCGCTGGAGCAGCCCGTGTCCATTACAGCGGGTCTATTTGTCAAGACATGGTGCTGCCTGCAAAGGGCTCGGCCGAACGCGCCCCGGCTGTTTCCTTTTGTTGGTTTATGAGCCAATCTTTTAAGACTGTCACACAGGCAGGGGTGCGTGAACATCCCCGGACTCAGGCTCCAGCAAAACCACCACCAGCCATTGAAAGCAACAGCAATATGCCAGGAGAGGAATTTCAGTCCCAGGCAAACCGTCAATCTTTGTTACGATGGTTGAGCCCCTCTGTTGTGCCAAGGCAGCTGTCATACCCAGATATCCAGCCTCTTTACCGTCACATCTGGTCTGTGTGTGGTCATCTTACTGCACAGCTGATCGACCCGATGGAAGGGGGCAGCCCTTTCCCCAGGGGAAAGCTCCAGCACAGTCTCAGGTCAAGGGCTGGTTACGGAGGCTTCAATCCCCAGATTTCCGAGGCAATGCCCCACCAGAGCTTCCACCGCGCTCCGCTGGCACGGGCAGGAAAGCCTTTGACAGCCACTAAGGGCTGGGCTGCTCCGCAGAGCTGTGGAGCCCTTCACTGTTAAGGAGTAAAAGAAGTGAAGAGAACTCCAGCCCAGCATTACTACTTATAAAACTTCACAAGACGTGCAATAAATGCTGCTGATGAGAAGCCGTTAGCTTTTACCCTGATCAATAGCATGTTTAGATGGGAAAAGAATTTTTAACTAAGAAGTTAATTTTCTTCCTTACCATAAGATGAGGTACAAGGAAGAAATGTTTTCCTGTGCGGGGGGTGAGGCAGTGGCCCAGGTTGCCCAGAGAAGCTGTGGATGCCCCATCCCTGGAGGGGTTCAAGGCCAGGCTGGATGAGGCTTTGGGCAACCTGGGCTAGTGGGAGGTGTCCCTGCCCATGGCAGGGGGTGGAACTGGATGGGCTTGAAGGTCCTTTCCAACCCAAACCCTTCTGGGATTCTGTGATTCTATAAAGGCAGCTGGTTTTCTTTGAGCAGCTCTCACAGACTGAAAATTGAGCACAGCCCGTTTCCCTGCTATTCTCAACCAGGTTTGGTGGATAAGGATTCAGAAGATTCATATTTAGGCTCCGGATCTAATAAATATCTATCCAATAGCAGGCTTAAATTACTCAACTTCCTAAAAAGATTCCAGCCGTTATGCTAAACCCAGGAGGCTGAAAACTCAAGATGATGTAAAGATACGGCAAGAGGCAAGAGCTCTTCTCCCCAGGAATACATCTCACTGTATTTCATAACACGCTGTATATACCCAGCAATATATACGGCAATATAGACAGCAAGGCAGAGATCTCCGCTTCTGAACTTTGATATTTGAGCTAAGCACATCAGCAGCAAGTTTGGTTTTTTGAAAAAATTACAGGGAGGGTTTGAAAGTACTCTAAAACCAAACGGGAGAACAGCTCCCAGCTGACCTCCTGTACGCCCACTCCTGGAAGGTTTTCCGAAAGGTTTGGAATTAAGGTTTCAACCAGAGAAGCTGAGCTGCCCTTAGCTAAACTGCTGAAGGCAAGCACAGCAGCCAGAAAAGCTAGGAGAAATCAGTTTAAATCACAATTGTGTTCTTACTGCTCTCAGGGAAGCAGGGAGACGCAGCCATACCTCTTTATCGCTGTAGGAGATATTCCGGATCTCGTTCCACGGGAAGGAGATTTTAGGGGTCAACCTGTTGTCTGGGTCATAAATGTGCAGACCCAAGGCGTCAACTCCAAGGAGCAGTTCGGTGCCCTTCTTATTCTACAGGAGGAAAGAAAGAGCAGAAAACCCTTTCATTTCACTCGAAGGGTCTAACACAAACCATTGTTAGCTTCATCAGCCAGCCCTGAGCGGGGACCCACCAGCACTGCATATTTAAAGTCCACACGCCGCAGCAGGGACTCTCCCCGACACACCGCAGCTGTCTCCCAGCTCTGCTGGCTCTCCAAGGCTTCACTCATCCAATCTCACAAAAGGTGAAGACTAACACAAGACCTCCACGGGCAAAAAAACACAACCCACAACCTACACTCACCCTGATCGCAAAATAGTTCACGCCGTACATCTCCAAGTCCTGAGCTATCTTCAGATACTCCATCTCAGCTTCATCTCTGTCAGACACAAAAGCCCAGTGTTAGGATGTTGGCAGGATCAGAGAGCAGGGGAGGGCTGCTCTTCCTGATCCTGAGCACACACAAGGACTGTCTCTATCGCACGGGTCAGGCCCGTCGCTGCTGGCAGGATCACTACAATCCAACAGCAAATCCCAGGCTGCAGCCTGCTGACATCTTAACGTGACGCCTGCCTGGCGAGATACAGCCCTTCGAGCCTCGCTCTGTCCATCTCCCAGTCCCCTCCAGTGTATCCAGGACATCCCTGGCTGGGGGGGGGCCTGTTTCAGATCCATCTGCCTTCAGGCTTATCCCCCACAAGGAGCATTTTACTGCCCGAGGCAGCACGCTGGATGAACCCCACCGCCAGCAGAGCCCATCCGTCACCCAAGCTCCCTGAACCCTGGGGACTCTTCGGGCGAGGGGCTGACCCTGACCCACGCTCCAGTGTACGCTCACCTCGCTCTGCCGCGGTGCTCTGCATACCAGGCTGTGATCCTCTCCTCCCACATCTCTGGAGTCATCTGGTACAGGTTTATCACCTGAGATACGGGGGGAACAGCGACCAGGTCACGCTGCTGCTCTTGTCACATCCACCAGCAAACAAGCCAGAAACACCCCAGCCCCCTGCAACCCCTCCCCAGGCAGGATGAAACCAGGAAAAGAAAGAAACACTTGCTTCTGTTTTTATTAAAATATGTCAGAGAGACATTGAGATCTCCTGCCTCAACACATCTTTTGGGATTGTTTGATGGCCGAGCTCCTTACCCGCTTGGGAAGCAGCTCCTCTTGCGCCAAGAAGCCTCGCTTATGGACGTTGGGGTCGTAATCGCCGTACTGGAAAGAAGCACAGACATCGTGTCCACCCCACGTTAACAAAACAGGCAAATAAATCTCTTCACCCTTACACACCTGCCCCTCGAGAGGCAGCAAACGCCAACTGCTTCCACCCTTCACGTCACACCCTGCTAGAGCAGAGAACGTACACTGCTCCGTAAATTTAATACCGAGTATTTTCTCTGTCATTTGATTGCTAATCAAACTTACATCCTCCTCCTACTCGTGCAGCAGAGGGGGAAGCAGAACAAAACTTCCCACCATCAGCTGAGGTCCACCATCATTTGACGTCAACTATCATTTGACGTCAACTATCATTTGACGTCCACCATCGGCCGACGTCCACCACTAGTTGACGTCCACCATCACCTGACGTCCACCATCGGCCGACGTCCACCAGCTGGACTAGATGATCACTGTAGGTCCCTTCCAACCAAGCATTTCTGTTCTACTCTCATTACCATGCCCAGAAAACACTTCCTCCGATGCAGGGAAAGACTGACTCAACAACCAAGAGGTCCTTGCTGTCCCACAGGTAGTGGAACAGGGAGTCAAGCCATGGACAAAGACCTGTCCTCAAAGGCGGATCAATACCCGTAATTGGGGCAAGGCAGCTGGCAGATTCCCTATCGCTGCTCACCACCCTAATGAACAAACATCTAAAAAAATTTCAGGAGTCTGACAGGCTCCTCTCAGGCAGGTGTTGGCTTTTCTGCCAGAGGGCTTGTTGCTCACCTGGGTCGGGGAATCCAATTCAGGTTTGTTAAGAGCATCCAGTAATTACTGGTATGTGTTTAGATTTACATCTTTTTGAGCAGCAGATGAAGTGACTGAGCAGTAAAACCACTTATTAACAGATTGAGAAGCCAAGTGTCCCTGCAGCACATGTGAAAATGAGTTTACCTCCTGTACAGCTTAAGAGGGCACGAAACAGCCCGAAAACAGCACCTCAGATAACCTAGCGAGTTCCAGAGAGGACGATGCATGTGAGGCATGCACACGAAATGCTGCGATTTCCATTCACCTGGCAAACAGGACTCTGCAGCGACACAAAACACGGCGACCTTTGCTCAAGTCACCCATTTGAAGCAAGACAGCCCTTCCCTCCCTGCCTTCCTGAAGAACCCCAGCTCTGGAGTACAAAACGGGGACAATTTTTAAAACCAAGACCAAGACACACATGGTGGTCGTGGAGTAAGTCAGGAAACTCTCCGTGCCAGCCTCCCTTTAACGCCAGAACCGTTGTACGGTAAAACCAGAGCTCAGCACCAGAAGTCCACGTACAGCCTCTCCACTGCCCAGCCAGCAACGCTTCATCGACGCCAAGCGGGGATTACAGACGCAAATATTGATCTGGAGCCAATGCAGCCGCGAAGGAAGCATGCGACAATCCACACTGACTCAGGCTTCAATTAACAGAACAAAACCGCCGCGGGTTTCATTCGGGAGGGTGCTGAGCAGCAGCATCCGTCTGTCCTCCAAGGTCTGGAAATGCTGGGAGCTCCTCAGAACGCAGCGTCCCTTGAACCCGCAACAAAGGGGAACTGCAATAAAAACGCAGCGCTGGCAAAGGAAACAACTCCAATAACCTTGGAGAGGCAGAAAATAAATCATTTTTAGGTGGTGAAAATAAGAGCAAATAGGATTAATGTGATTTTTTTTTTTTTTGTCGCAATCTACCGTGCAGATCCAAGCCTAAGTATGGATTATGCGATTTTCATGTGGTGAGAAATATCGCCACGTCCCAACGGAATATTTGTACTGAGAGGGAGTCTGGGTGAGAACATTAATTATTCACGAGTCAAAAATCAACAAATGGTTTAAGTATTGCGGTAGATGTTGGCCCAAACGATTCGGCAAACATACTTTTAAAGATCTTTTCAATTAAATCATTACTTCAAAACTGTCATGGAATTGCAGCTCCTGTTAACTGAACTAAACAATTAATATTCACAGTTACACGTGGAAGCTGCCTCATTCATGGCTTACACCATCCCGGATAAACACAAGGATGCTCAGTTCCAACTGTTAACACCAAGAATTGTTTGTTTTGGGAAAAACAAAACAAAACAAAACAAAACAAAACAAAACAAAAAAAACCAAAAAACCCCACACAAAATAAAAGAGCCTTTTGCTTATGCTGCAAGACCTGAAGTGCTGAGAGGGCTGCAGCATGGCAGCGATCTGCATTCCAGGGGCAAGAAATGGAAGAACCTCCTGGATGTGACCATATTCTGCTGGTACATGTTTTTCAATAGATGCCCCATCTCTCCCGGCTATTTCACACCTGCACGGCCTCCAACATCTGAAAGGAGTGTGGGTGGTTTGAACGCAGGGCTAGAGGGGAAAACACGCAGTAATTCCCCAAATGAACACAATAATACAGAAATAAATAAGCATTTCTTTTTCTGAGCCGCACACTTACTTTGTTATTGCAGGTGGGTGTGAAACAACACCTAAACCACGGCGGCTGTCAGCCGAACGGCTGCAAACACCCCCCTACGGCAGGCTGGTATGCCCCTAATCATGCAAATCAGCACGTTATTAGGGAAATTACTGCGCTCAGCGCCCAGAAAGGACATCATGATCCTATTTAACTGGAAGGAGATGACCTGCAACATCTTTCTTCCCAACTACAAGATGTGCTTTCAGCTTTCTCCTTTGCTAAAAAAAAAAAAAAAAAAAAAGCAGAAGGGGAAACCCTGCCTGGAGGGCAGCAAGGACACGCAGTGTCTGATGCAGACACGAAGGTACGCGAGCGAGGACCACAAAAGGCATCCCTCCTCCACTCTGCACAATCTCGGCGCAGAATCAATGTCAGGAGAACCGCTCGGTCTCTGGCTGACCTCCTCCAGACGACCGAGCGGCGAGGACGTCGAGCGTGCTGCTGAGAGCAAGGACAGCGGCCGTGCTTGCAAGAAGCGAGAAGGGACGGCACAGCAGCCCTGTTCCAAATGACAGCCTGTTCCCGATGCGCGAGCAGGAGCTGTCACGGCCAAGAGTTAACAGCGCTCAATATTTACTCTATGGTTTATTCATCTCGGCAACAGGAAAAGTCACCCCCTGCGTATCCTCAGCTCAGCAGGTCAACGGAGAAGAAGCCACGGAAGTGTTTACTCACGGACTCCAATAAGGGTGGCGAACGCTTCACACAAATAGAAACATTCTGAAAGCACCTGGTCTCTCCCTGGCTGAGGAGTCTCTCAAACAAAATATGGTTTTATCAATATTTTAACTATGCAGAGAAAAGATCTTTTTCTAGTAAATGAAACACTCATCACCAAAGACGAGTGGTGCCCGTCCCCCAGGGCTGTGCTCAGACAAACCGGGACTGGGATAAAGGGTGATGAGGAAGGTTACACGGCAACCAGAAGAAGCCACGGTGGGACGCCAAGGACGGGGCTGTGTTTCCAACCAGCCTGGCTCAGGCCCTCTTGTCGGGCAACAGAGCCCCTCCTACTCGGTCTCATGGACCAGAGAGAT